CCAAAGTGCTGGGATTACAGGCTTGAGCCACTGCGCCCGGCTCGCTCTTTCTTTCTTTTCTTTTCTTTTCTTTTTTTTTTTTTCTTTCTTTCTTTCCTTCCTTCCTTCCTTCCTTTCTTTCTTTTCTTTCTTTCTTTCCTTCTTTCTTTCTTTTCTTTCTTTCTCTCTCTCTCTCTTTCTCTTTCTTTCTTTTTCTTTCTCTCTCTCTCTCTCTCTCTCTTTCTTTCAAAATGGAGTCTCTCTCTGTTGCTCAGACTGGAGTGCAGTGGCACAATCTCAGCTCACTGAAACCTCCACCTCCCAGGCTCAAGCGATTCTCCTGCCTCGGCCTCCTGAGTACCTGGGACTACAGGTACCCACCACCACACCTGGCTAATTTTTGTATTTTAATCGAGATGGAGTTTTGCCATGTTGGCCTGGCTGGTCTCGAACTCCTGACCTCAGGTGATCTGCCTGCCTCAGCCTCCCAAAGTGCTGGGATTACAGGGGTGAGCCACCACGCTTGGCCAGGGTAGATATTCTTTTATGAGCATAACTGTCTTTTAGTACGTACAAGGCTAGTGACTGGACACTGGAATGGTAGAGCCAAAAAAACTCAACACTTTCACTATCCTATGAGCTCATAGCAAACAGCAAATGGCACAGAAAGATGGTCTCTTTTGGTCTTCCAAGTCTCCTGCAAGGGCCTCTAATTAGCAGAGCTGAATCCACACCCAAAACCACATCTTTGAGCACATCTGGGAAATACAATATTAGCGTTTTCATCTCTACCCCGTGGAAGATAGAATGAGTGGGGAGAGAACACCAAGGACCAACCCCACTCGTCCCCCACTTGAGTTAGCACTGCCTCTATTCTGCACAAGGACACTGTCAGTTATTCTCCTGAACTGACATGGTAGCACACGACATGGTTTTAGGCCCCAAACAAGGTAAAATCTTGAGTCACACGGCCAGAAAGTAAATCACCTTTGAATATCTCTTCTTTTTTTGCTTGTTTTTGAGATGGAGTCTCGCTCTGTCACCCAGGTTGGAGTGCAGTGGTATGATCTTCGCTCACTGAAACCTCCACCTCTTGGGTTCAAGTGATTCTCCTGCCTCAGCCTCTCAAGTAGCTGGACTACAGGCAGGCGCCACCACGCTTGGCTAATTTTTGTATTTTTAGTAGAGATGGGGTTTCACCATGTTGGACGGGCTGGTCTCAAACTCCTGACCTCAGGTTATCCACCTGCCTCGGCCTCCCAAAGTGCTGGGATTACAGGCATGAGCTACTGCCCCTGGTCTTGAATATCTCTTAATCCATCAAATGAGATGAGGGAGAAAGTCTCTATAGTAAGGAATTAATTTTACCCCAAAGAAAAGGCTGACTTTTGGCCTTGCTGTTGGAAGATAATCTCTAAACCCTTGGAATATTCTGCCTGATAAGAGTGTCTCTATTTACATAGGGACCTAGGGCCACGCCAGATCATTTCTAACAGTGTGATTTCCAGTGGGGGCTGTGGGCCACACAATATCAGCTCCACCCCTGGAGGGGCTGGAAACTAATGTCGGTCACACATGTGGTCAATTACGTCTATGTGACTGAACCCCAGTAAAAACCCTGGACACCAAGGCTCGAGTGGGTTTTCCTGATTGGCAACACTCCGCGTGTGCTGTCCCACATGGGTACCCACAGAAGACAGTGCTGGGAGGAGACAGCTGGAAGCTTTGCACTTGGGATATTCCTGGACGCTTCCTCACGTGTCTCTGTCCTCGGCTGGCTTTCATCTGTTTCCTTTCACTCTAATAACCCATAACTGTGAGTCTGAGAGCATTCAGTGAGTTCTGTGAGTCCCTGTAGTGAATTGTCAAACCCTCGGGAACCCTCAAACCTGCAGCTGGTGTCAGAAGTGAGAGTTCTCCTGGGACTTCCCAACCCTGCAGTTTCTTTGGGCAGCAGCTTGAGGATCACCTCCCTGATATTTGAGGGTCTCCCTCCAACACCACAGACCCAGGCCTCTGGTTCAGAGCCCTCTGCAAGAAACTCCAGACCCAGCTAGAATGCAACATAACATCTTCATTTCTTTTCACTGAATGTATTTATTTATTTATTTGACAGAGTCTCACTCCGTCGCCCAGGCTGGAGTGTAGTGACACGATCTCAGCTAACTGCAGCCTCTGCCTCCTGGGTTCAAGCAATTTTTGTACTTCAGCCTCCTGGGTAGCTGGGACTACAGGCGCGTGCCGCCACACCCAGCTAATTTTTGTATTTTTATCTAGTAGAGACGGGGTTTCACCATGTTGGCCAGGTTGGTCTCTAACTCCTGACTTCAAGTGATCTGCCTGCCTCAGCCTCCCAAAGTGCTGAGATTACAGGCGTGAGCCACTGCGCCTGGCCTTGGATTTATCTTTATAGCTATCTTCTATCTATATTAAGCAATACTGATTTTCCATATATGATTGCAGGTTTTAAAATAAATATCTTTAAGCTAAAAAGGGAGTTGATCTTTCTTTTTTTTTTTTTTTTTTTTGAGACGGAGTCTCACTCTGTCGCCCAGACTGGAGTGCAGTGGCCAGATCTCAGCTCACTGCAAGCTCCGCCTCCCGGGTTCACGCCATTCTCCTGCCTCAGCCTCCCGAGTAGCTGGGACTACAGGCGTCCACCACCTCGCCCGGCTAGTTTTTTTTGTATTTTTTAGTAGAGACGGGGTTTCACCGTGTTAGCCAGGATGGTCTCGATCTCCTGACCTCGTGATCCGCCCGTCTCGGCCTCCCAAAGTGCTGGGATTACAGGCTTGAGCCACCGCGCCCGGCCAGGAGTTGATCTTTCAAAAGAGAGAATAATAGTACAGATGTGGTGAAAATATGTCAGAAGTTGGGAGTATGTGATGATTGAAGTTTGAGAACTATTGTCCTAGAAACATCTTGCACACACCGGCACCACCCCGCCAGCAGGCAAACATAGCCGTCAGCATTTCCTGTTCTAAGCAGAAATTTATCTTCCCTACCACAACCTGTGTCCCCCACTCCCCAGTACTTCTCAACGTTTTCAAAAAGCGACCTGCAGTATGAAATGCATTTCATAGCACACTAGCATGTATACTGTTAGATTGAGCCATATGACATTGCTAGTTTTACAGGTCAAACACATTTGAATATTGCCATTTTCAAATGATTCAATTTAATAGATATACTCAGGCTGGGCAAGGTGGCTCATGCCTGTAATCCCAGCAATTTGGGAGGCCGAGGTGGGCAGATCACCTGAAGTCAGGAGTTCGAGACCAGCCTGGCCAACATGACGAAATCCCACCTCTACTAAAAATACAAAAATTAGCCAGGCGTGATGGTGGGCATCTGTGATCTCAGCTGCTTGGGAGCTTGAAGCACGAGAACTGCTTGAACCTGGGAAGCAGAGGTTGCAGTGAGCTGAGATCGCTCCACTGAGCTCCAGCTTGAGAGACAGCGTGAGACGCCATCTCAAAAAAAACAAAAAAAAAAGAGACATAATCCATTATATATATAAATGTATACTCATATCTAGATGACATCCCCTCCTGATCAGTTAGACATCTGTTCTGCTTTAGGTGGTAGGTGCAAATAATGAAATAATTTTAGTATCCTCCGTATGTGCATAATATACATATTATAACATATATATGTACACATATGTAATGTATATAACATGCTATCTATTATATATACAGTCTTACATTTGAGATTAGTGATGCAGTAATAACATTTATAGTGATGCATTAAAACAATATGTTATTGTAATTATAATTGTCATATTCTATACATTATATATATTATATTACATACAATGTTTATGACATGCTATGTATATTATATATATACAATTTTATACTTGTTATTAGTGATGTACTAATGTCTTTTTAAAATTATTCTTTCTTTCTCTCTTTTGTCTTATGCTACTCAGAGCCCACTAAACTGATTTAGTAACCCATGAATGGGCTGTGACCTGAAGTTTGTGAAACATGGTTATGCAAGCCCTGTGACCAGGACCTTGTCTCTTGACTTTGGCATGACCCTTAAGCCTGGGTAGAGCTCTGGTCTAAGTCCTGCACTTCAGGGGCCCTGCTGTGGCCTAATCTGGTGGAGCCAAGGGCCTTTAGGAAGTGCCCACCAGCATCTATGCTCTTCTTGACCAAGTTCTAGATCCCTAGGACCCCTGAATTCCTCTCTCAAATTGCTCTGAGCCCATGCCGGGGCCTGCAAGGCCTTCTTGGTGGACACATTCCTAAGCCAAGAAGTGGCCCAGATGGTGGCCATATGTGTACTGGGGGCTGTGGATGGAACTTGGAGGTGCAGGCTGTGGCATTCACACTCATGTATGCAAGGCCCCTCCCAGTGTGGGAAGGGACTAGAAGTAGGAAGGAGAGGGGATCCCTGTGATCTGGGACCTCCAAACCCTTAAAAATGTTAGGGGTGAACTGACACTGGGTACCTGCTCCCCTGTGGGGACCATACCAGTGTTCTCAAACTGCCCGCAGGCAGAAGCCAGCCTTGGCTCTCTCTCTGGCCAGAGTCACCCAGCACACAGAGTCACCTGCACCCACCCACCACCATCCTGTCTGCCACACACTAGACTGGCTTCCTTCACTTTATTCCCTGCCTTGGCTTTTTTTATTTTTCTTTTTTAGAAACAGGATCTCACTCTGTCACCCAGGATGGAACACAGTGGCTCAATCACAGCTCACTAAAATCTCGACCTCCTGGGCTCAAGCAGTTCTCCAGCCTCAGCCTCCTGAGTAGCTGGGACTCTAGGCATGCACCACCACGCCCAGTTAATATTTTTATTTTTTGTAGAGACAAGGTCTCACTATGTTGCCCAGACTGGTCTTGAACTACTGGCCTCAAGTGATCCTCCCGACTCAGCCTCCCAAAGGGCTGGGGTTATAGGTGTGGGCCACCACGTCCAGCCTTTGCTTTATTCCTTGAGGGCCCCGAGGCAGCCCCTGCCTCCTCTTTCCACTCCCCTGTCCCAAATGATCAGAGATCCTGGGGAAAAGACCACAGTGCTTTACTTTTTGTCTGAACAGAGGAGATAACTTGAGGGACAGTCCCCAAGGCGCCAGGCAGCCTTCAGGGGCGGGTAGGGTTAGGGGAGGTAGGAGACTCAGACCGGCAGCCCTGGCTCCAGCTTCATGGTCTGTGCCTTCCCTCTCTGGCCAGGCTCTTCGAGGTGATGCAGGAGGCTGGGCATGGTGAGCTGGCAGGGGGCTTGGTCTTCGGGTGCTCAGCGGGTTGTCGGTTCCTGTTTCTGATGGACTCACCTGCAATAATTCCTGCATAACCCGGACAGCTGTCTGCATTTGCCACCTGTGGGTGAAGGAAACGGTTCAGTCATGAGCTAGAGTGATATTGATTCTTATTGTGTGTTCTGGGGCTGGGAAACCAGGTTGATCAACCCTGCCCCTCGGGAAGCTCAAAGGCAGCTCCACAAACAAATGATGGAGAAACGCACCGAGAAGCCCTGCGAGAGGCGCTTCCCACACAGGCTCACAGATGAGCCGTTTGGGAACTCCCATTGTTTTGTATGTCACTTATTCATTCATTCAGGCACTAAGAACACAGTTGAGGACAAAGAAAAAAATCCCTGCCCCGGCAGAGTTGTCTTTCTATGGGGAAAGGCCAACGAGGAGAAAAATAACAAAGTCAAATGTGTGAAGGCACTACGTGGGATGGTGTTAAGTCCTATGATGGGAAATAAGACCAGGAAGGAGGCATGGAGGCCCAGGAGCTGGGCTCATTCTCACAGGGATGGCTACTGGGGCTTCAATGAGGAGGTGACTTTTTTTTTTTTTTTTTTTTGAGACAGAGTCTTGCTGTGTCGCCCAGGCTGGAATGCAGTGGTGCAATCTCGGCTCACTGAAACCTCTACCTCCTGGGTTCAAGTGATTCTCCTGCCTCAGCCTCCTGAGTAGCTGGGATGACAGGCACATGCCACCACGCCCAACTAATTTTTGTATTTTTAGTAGAGATGGGGTTTCACCATGTTGGCCAAGCTGGTCTTAAACTCCTGGCCTCAAGGGATCCACCTGCCTTGGCCTCCCAAAGTGCTGGGATTACATACGTGAACCACTGCGGCCCGCCAAGGAGGTGACATTTGAGCAAAGGTCTGAAGGAGGTAAGGGAGACACCTGGAAGAAGGGTGTTACAGGCAGAGGGAACAGCAGCACAAAGGCCTTGAGGTAGGAGGACACAGATGGCCTCCAGAGACTCATCTGTGGCTGGTCCAGAGTGAGGGAGGGGGGACCTTAGAAGCCAAGGGTACTTTAGAAAACACCGGCCACCCTTGCCTCCTCCAGCCCCTCAGCACTCTGGCCTCGTCTTCTACTCTCCCGCAGCCTATCCTGTCCTGGCTACTTTGCTTCCTCCGCTGCTATAGCAATGGGCGCAGCTCATTCCTGCCTCCAGAGCTTGGCACTTCCTGCCCTCTCTACCTGGTGATTCATCTTCTCATCATCAGGTGTCAGTTCCAATTTCACCACTCCAGGGAGGGCTTCTCACCCCACCCCTCTCTTCCCCGTCACTCTGCTTTATTTGGCACGTATCTTTCTCTGTATCCACTCATTCATGCATGTATTTGCTTATCATCTTCTCCTGACCAGATGTGAGCTCCTGAGGACAGGGACCAGGGCTGCTTGTCACCACCATGCCCCCAGCATCACCCAGTGTAGGTTTGGCACAGACGAGGTGCCCACAAGTATTTGCTGTTGGAAAAATACATGGCCCCAGAGCTAACATTCAGGCTCTGCTCTCACACAAACCTGGGTCCAGTCCTTCATTGATTCTTTTTTTTTTTTTTTAATTAAAAAAAATTATTTGTGTAGAGACAGGGTCTTGCCATTTTGCCCAGGCTGGTCTTGAACCCCTGGGTTCAAGCCATCCTCCCACCTTGGCCTCCCAAAGTACTGGGATTACAGGAGTGAGCCACCGTGACCCGCCAGCAAATGAATTCACTGACTCTTATGTGCTGCGTGACCTTAGGCAAACTCCTTAACTCTCTGAGCCTTAACTTCACCACTGGGGTGAGAATAGGGCCTGGCGCAAAGTCAGGATCAACACACACATGTTGCATAAACGAGGCAAGAGTGCTTGACTTTCAGATTCAGTGGGGATTACACATATATCAGGAGTCATGTTTTATGATTGTTAGAATTCTGCCTCTCCCCTTAAGGCAAAAAAAGATGTGACTATGCTCATTTTCTTGATAAGGAAGTTGGACAAGAGAGGTAATGAAACTTGGCATTCGTTATACAGATTAACTGACAGCTTGTGTTTTATTTTACCCACAACATTTTGAAAACCTTTTTTAAAAATTAGTTTCTCTGTTTGTTATTCTGCCTTTCCCCACACCTTCCTGTCCCTGCGTTGGGCCCTGGGCCCCTTGCCCTCTAGTTAAGCATTGGCAGGAGACAGTGGGGTAGGAGGAGAGGGAGGTTTAGGTATCTGATCCCTACCACCCCTGCTCCCTCCTGGTTTGGTCACAAGTGAGACAGTGGCTGGAACCCTCTTTCTGAGGCCACAGCTCCTGCCAGCAGCCCCACCCCCAGTTCCATCTCTCACCAGGCCTCCTGCAAAGCCAGTATCTCCTCTCGTCCCTCAGGCTGGGGGATAACAGGTCTCCATCCTTGCTGGTCCTAGGGCACTGCACCATCTCATTACCCTGACTGTACCTCGGAGATATCACTCTATTAAACGTTCTCCAGTTAACCCTTTGCAGGTCCTTCTGCCACCTGCCGTGAATCTGATCAACACAGCTGTCAACATTTGAGTACCAAAAGATTTTACAGAAACATTAAGCTCTTAAAAGGGTAGTTACTCTGGCTGCTCCAAGCCTCTGTTCTTGCTGGATTGAGTGGGTGAGGTTGTTCCATGAGGCATTTAATCCTCAGGTGTCTCCTCCCAACACAGCCTTGTTTAACCCTTGTTCCCTGCCGGGCCTGGGTGCAGTGAGGTTGTGACTGCTGGGGTGGTATGCTGACTGCCAAACGGCCCTTAGTCTCTACCCCTCCCTGTCAGTATCCATGTCCTTTGCCATGTGACTTTGCCTGTCTTCCCATCAAGAGGTGGAGTCTATTTCCTTGAGTGAAGCTCAGCCTTATGACTTGCTTTGACCTATGGAATGAGGCAGAAGTGATAATGGCCAGTTCTGAGCCTACATGCATTCACTCTGTCTTAGACCCCTGCCACCACCATGCGAACAAGCCCAGGCTAGCTTAGTAAAGGATAAGATGATGAGGCAAGGAGCCAAGGTGCCCCAGAAACAGAGTTTCCTGCTGACCCACAACTGAACTCAGATGTGAGTAAATCCAGTTGAGACCAGAAGAATCATCCAGCTGAGCCCAGCCTACATTTTCAAACTGTGGTCTTGAGAGCTCAATAAATGGTCATTATTTTAAACCACTGAATTCTGTGGTGGTTTGTATGGATATGCAGCTAATAGATACCTCATTTAAAACAAAATTGCCCAGAGACCTTTGAGAACACAGCCCTCAGTCATAAGCCCCATCCTGGTCTTGGTGCCCTTCCCACCCAGCCCCAGTTCTCACTGGTGAGGATGATGATGCCTGTGATGAACAGCACAGCTGCGACCAACAGCCCCCGTTTCCGGAGGGTGTGTTCATCTGCAGAGAGAAAAATGAGGGGTAGAGTCAGAGGGGCCTTCACCTTTCCTTCCCCCACATCTTCCTGTGGATAACTTACCATAGAAGAAGGGGTCATCCTCATGAAAACCTGGAGAGGCAGACAAAGAGCAAGTCAGGGTTCAGCAAAGGTTTGTGAAGTGAATATGTGAATGGCAAAGTCAGGAAAGGGGGACACCTGGGTACCCTTAGAACAAAAACCAAAATCCTCACCATGGCACACAATCTGGTTCCCATTATTCCTCTAATCTCATTTCCTCCCCATTCCCCTCACTCCCTGCACTCCAGTCCTACCAGCCTCCCTGCTGTTGAACATGCAGGTACCTTCTCACCTCAGGGCCTTTGCACTGGCTGTTTCCTCTGCCTGGAACACACTTTCCCTAGACATCCGCATGACTCCCTCCTTCACTCCCTTCCCAGTGGGGCCCTCCCTGGTTTTGTATATGAAATACAGGTTGACTATCCCTAATCCCCAAATCCAAAATCCAAAATGTTCCCAAATCTGACACTTTTTGATGTCACATCAGAGGTGTTTGAACCAGAGCAACTCCATCTCGAATAGGGTAAAATAAGGCTGAGACCCACTGGGTTGTATTCCCCAGAGGTTAGACATTGTTAGTCACAGGATGAGACAGGAGGTCAGCACAAGATACAGGTCATAAAGGCCTTGCTGATAAAATAGGTTGCAGTAAAGAAACCAGTTAAAATCCACGAAAACCAAGATGGCAATGAGAGTGACCTCTGGTCATCCTCACAGCTCATTATACGTTAGTTATAATACACTGGCATGCTAAAAGACACTCAAATACCAGCACCATGACAGTTTACAAATGCCATGCAATGTCAGGAAGTTACCCTATACAGTATAAAAAGGGGAGGAACCCTCAGTTCCAGGAATTGCCCACCCCTTTCCCAGAAAACTCATGAATCCATCCCTTGTTTAGCATATAATCAAGAAACAACCATAAAAATAGGCTGCTCTGTCTATGGAGTAGCCATTCTTTATTCCTTTACTTTCTTAATAAACTCTATGGACTCGCTCTGAATTCTTTTTTGGTGCAAGATCCAAGAGCCCTCTCTTGGGGTCTGGATTGGGACCTCTTTCTGGTAACAGTCTGACATGGCACCGAAAGGAAGTGCCCATTGGAACATTTTGGACTTCAGAATTTTGGGTCAGGAATGCTGAACAGGTAAGTATAATGCAAATATTCTAAAACCCGAAATCTGAAAGACTCCTGATCCAAAGCATTTTGGATAAGGAATATTCAACCTGTACTCCCCAGTCACTCTCTAACCCTACTTTATTTTTCTTGATAGCAAGTTAAAATCAACTGATACATAATTATTATGATTATTTCTAGATGTGTTTCTCTTACCACTAGAATAGTAGTTCCATGAGGGCAGAGATTTTGTCTGGCTTGTTCACCACTCTATCTCTGTCCCCTAGAACCTAGCCTAGCACACAACAGGTACTCAGTGAATATTTGTTGAATGAATGGATGAACGGGCTCTCTATGTGACCCATGGGCATATCATTTCCATTCATTCACTGGGGAGTTGACTGGGCAGGAAGTGGAGGATAAGATCACCAGGGAAAGAATCAAATTGCCCCTAGAAACAGAGCTCCCTGCTGACCCACAACTGACCTCAGAGACTTGAGTAAGTCCAGCTGAAACCAGAAGAACCAGCCAGCTGAGCAAACCCTAGATTTCCAAATTGCAGAAATGAGAGCTAAATAAATAGTTATCATTTTAAGCCACTGAGTTTTTAGGTGGTTTGTATGCAGCAATAATTTATGCATTCATTTATCTATTCAGACATTTATCATGTGCCCACCCTCTGCCAGGCTTGAAGTCATTTACTCTCCCATCACGTGTTTACTGAGAACTATTCTGTGCTGGGCTGTATTCCAGGTGCTGGAAATACACAGTGAACAGAAAATAGCCTGCTTCCAGTCTGGGGAGGCAATTACTGACCAGATGGCTTGAGGGTCTGGGGGTCTGTCTGGCCGTCTGTGCTTGGGGATGGTCTCTCAGAAAGCGTCGTGGTGTCTTCAGTGGGATGAGCTGAGAGAGTGGCCAGATCAGTGGAGGGCAGGAGTGAGCCGTGGAGGCAGAAACAAGGGATATTACTGAGAGTCTGCATCTGGAAGAAATCCCTCTCCCACATCTACGCAGCTGGTGTGCAGGGTCAGGCATCCCCCCTACTCCATACCAGAGGCAATAAGCAATGGCAGGCATTAAAATGCTGAAATAAGCATGTACCCCCTAGTTATGACTATCTGATCTGCCTCAATCCCTGAGGGACTCCAGACACCTCTCCTAAGACCTTCTGGCCCACATTATAATCCAGGAGATAGAGGAACTAAAAGGCAACACCTGCCAGGGACTCTGACCCAGCTACATAGTCTGAAGACACTTTTAAAACATTCTGAATATTGTCCAGGTGCAGCAGCTCATGCCTGTAACCCCAGCACTTTGGGAGACTGAGGCGGGCAGATCACCTGAAGCCAGGAGTTCAAGACCAGCCTGGCCAACACAGTGAAACCCCGTATCTACTAAAAATACAAATATTAGCCGGGACTGGTGGCACACACCCGTAATCCCAGGTACGCGGGAGGCTGGCAGGAGAATTGCCTGAACGCAGGAAGGGGAGTTTGCAGTGAGCCGAGATTTCACCACTGCACTCCAGTCTGGGCAACAGAGCAAGACTCCATCTCAAAAACAACAACAACAACAACAAAATTATTCTGAATATCATTTCTGCCCCCAGGACGGAAAATACCAAAGGATTCTTCTCTTGAAAAAAAAAAACAAAAGGGCTGGGCGTCGTGGCTCATGCCTGTAATCCCAGCACTTTGGGAGGTTGAGGCGGGCGGAGGTTGAGATTGAGACCATCCTGGCTAACACGGTGAAACCCCGTCTCTACTAAAAATACAAAAAAGTTAGCCGGGTGTGGTGGCAGGCGCCTGTAGTCCCACCTACTCGGGAGGCTGAGGCAGGAGAATCACTTGAACCAGGGAGGAGGAACTTGCAGTAAGCTGAGATCGTGCCACTGCACTTCAGCCTGGGTGAAAGCGCAAGACTCTGCCTCAAAAAAAAAAAACAAAAAACCGGTACCTCCAAAGAAAAGGCCTCCCCCAGCACTGAGAAGCGCCACCACACCACATCTGAGGCCTCAACAAGAAGCCAGCAGGCAGAGAAGCTCCCTCATGAAACCCAAGTTCCCTGGAACTATCTCGGTGCCCCACACCCTAAATAGGAACTGGCAGCCAAGGATTACAAGATATTCAGGGAATGCATCGCCCAGAGGAAGGCATAAGCCAGATCAACGGCAGAGACCACAGGAATGCAAAGGACAGCCATACTGGTGTGCAGTGCTCATGCACCCTGGGGCAAGACAGTCTAGACTCAAATTCTGGTTCTGCCACTCTTGGCTGTATTGCCTAAGGCAAGCTGAGTAACCTTTCTGGGCCTCAGTTCCCTTTCCTGTAAAATGGGAGTAATGACAGTTCCCACCACACAGGATGATCACAAGCATCGAATGACTGAATATACAAGTTTAGCACAGTGCCCAGCATGAATAAGCTCTCAGCAAAAGTCAGCCCTTGCTGGTAATGTTTGCTTAGCACTCCTTCCTCCTTCTGGAATAGCTCCCCCTTTCTTTGTGGGAGGACATTGCCCTCCCTTCCCCAGTTATAACCCAGGTTACAAAAGGAAGCATGTGACCTTCCCTGAGACCTCTGAAATCCCAAGTAGGGATATTGAGTGACAGCTAGGTACTATAGACTGAATTATATCCGCCCCACCGAATTCCATATGTGATGGTATTTGGAGCGAGGGCTTTTGGGAGGTAATTAGGGTTAGATAGGATCATGAGGGTGGGGCCCTCATGATGGGATTAGTGTCCTTACAAGAAGACACCAGAGAGCTTGCTCTCAAGCTCACAAGCCCACCCACACATGGAGAGGACATGGTGAAGACAGACCAAGAGAATAGTTGTCTGTGACCCAAGGGGAGCCCTCGCCAGAAACCAACACTGCTGGCACCTCGATCATGGACTTTCCATCTCCAGAACCGGGAGAAATGAATTCCTATTGTTTAAATCATCCAGTCTGTGGTATTTTGTTACGGTAACCTAAGCAGATTAAAACCCTACGTGAAGCCTGAAAGCTTTGAGCTAGGAGGCTCAAATAGGAAGGAGCCATTTCCTTCCTAGGTGGAAGAGAAGCAAAGATAGAGGAAGAAGAGAGGCCTGGGGGCTTTCATGCCCAGCCTCTAAGCAACCCAGAGGCTCAGCATTGACAGCCATTTGTCCTTGATGAATTTCTGTCACATATATCCAGGAACATGGACCAATACATAGAGCAACTCAGATCAGCAAAGACTCAGTAAATTAATGCAGAGATGTGAGAATGCTTTATCAATTGATAAGTGTGGACACAGCTGCTGTCCCCCACACCCTACAGGTGCACTTTTGTACAAAACAGAAAAGTTCCCTTCTGTAAGGCACTTTATTTCCATCTGTTGTAGGATTGTTTTAATAGATTCTGTAAGAATGAGATGCTTTACTGCTATCACTAGAAAACTGGAACAGTTTAAAGACCGACAAAGGGAATGGCATAGCCTGAGAAGTGGTGCTCTTGTTTAGTGCCCAGCTGCACAACTGTACATGTCTCTCAGCCTGGGAGTGGCCTACACCACAATACTTTCCAGTTGGGGGGCTGCCCCTCAAATAAAGATCATCACACAGGCATTAGAGGCGATCTGTTGCCTTATCTCAGCTCAGTCTCCTTTCCTACACCTTCTGGTAATACTAACTCACTTGTCCAGAGGAAACCCCCCTCTTCCCTGACTGTTGGTCTGTGTGGTTGAGGCATGGCTGGCTGAGCCTCTTCTCTAGCCCAAGGGTGAGGCACAAGACTCAGGCCTGACCAATGAGAATAGCTCATTTCTCAGGCTCTCATTGGTTCAGACATGAGCATGTGACTCCAGCTGGACCAATGAGAATCAATTCTAGGCCTCAGGCTAGAAATAATGGGAAAGATTTCGTTCTCTAGCCACCAGGTATGTGACCTAAAGTTAGAACTATGGGACCATCTCTGCCATCCAGAGGGGAGAAGTTAGTCGAGAATGAAGACAACAGAACCAAGAGAGGGAGCAAAGCATTCATGACAGTGCTTATGTGCCTTGATCCAGCTATGCCTGAAGTTGGATACTTCTGGACTTTCCAGAACTTATATAGCCAATCAGTCTTGTATGTGTGTATGTGTGTGTGTTTAAGGTGAATTTTCTATATTTTGCAACTGAAAAGCTCCTGTTCTAACATTAAGGAGATGTACAAAAAAGAAATATCCACAGGCACATTTTATAGCACCAGCCTCCGAGGGGAACTGACGGCAAGAAAGTTCTACCAGTTAGGGAAACACTGCATACTGCACGCTGCCCCTTGGGGATCCTTTGCTGCAAATTAGCTTAATCAAGACTCTCAGAAGTCCTGCCATAAAGAAACATGGTTAACTTTAACTCAGGGTTCCCCAAATAACTTTGACCACAAACCAAAAACATTTTTTTAAAATGTGTTAACAATTCCCCAAACAGGGGCACCGAGAAACGTACTGAGGGAAATGTTGACCTAGATAGAGAATTAAATAAAAATCGTAGGCTCTTGCTCTCAGTCCCATGCTGTACCTGTTTTGGTGCTCTTGTGTGTCTCTGGATCTGTCACTACAGGCCCATCAATTCCTGTCGGTCGCTGGGTCTGGGTCTGGGTCTGGGGTTGTGGTGTTTCTATTCAGGTCAGAAGAGCAAGGAGGGAAGAAGAAGAAAGAGTGAATTGGGGTCGGGCACAGTGGTTCATGTCTGTATTCCCAGCACTTTGGGAGACCGAGGCGGGCAGATTACCTGAGGTCAGGAGTTCAAGACCAGGCCAACCAACATGGAGAAACCCTGTCTCTACTAAAAATACAAAATTAGCCAGGCGTGGTGGCTCATGCCTGTAATCACAGCTACTCGGGAGGCTGAGGGAGGAGAATCGCTTGAACCCGGGAGGCGGAGGTTGTGGTGAGCCGAGATTGCGCCATTGCACTCCAGCCTGGGCAACGGGAGCAAAACTCCATCTCAGAAAAAAACTAAGAGGCTGGCAAAACCTGAAGACGTCAATATACCAAGTGTCACTGTAGGGATGGGAAGAGAGACACTCTCCTGCACACTGCTGGTGGGTGAGGAAGTGGGCACAGCCACTTGGGAAGGCAACTTTTATTTTTACTTTTATTTATTTATTTATTTTTGAGACAGGGTCTCACTCTAGCCTGAGCTGGAGTGTAGTGGTGCAATCATAGCTCACCGCAACCTTGAACTCCTGGGCTCAAGTGATTCTCCCACCTTAGCCTCCCAGGTAGCTGGGACTACAGGCACATGCCACCATGCCCAGCTAATCATTTTGTACTTTTTGTAGAGAATAGGTTTTGCTTTGTTGCCCAGGCTGGTCTCAAATTCCTGGGCTCAAGCGATCCACCCGCCTCAGTCTCCAAAAGTGCTGGGATGTCAGGCATGAGCCACTGTGCCTGGGCGGCAGGAGGGCAAATTTTAAAACATGAAGCATGCATGTTCTTTGCCCTGTACTGTTTTGGATAAAAGCACAGGCTTTGGTGCCAGATTCCTGGACTTTGATTCCTGCTGCGTCCGTGACTTGCTGTGAGACCTTGAACCAGTTACTCAGCGCCTCTGTTTCCTTGTCTGTAAAATGGGGACAATGGTAATTTCTGCCTCTTAGGGTTTGCGTGAAGGTTGAATGAGTTAACCTACGCAAAATATTTAGAACTATGACCAGCACATAGTCAGTACATATTCCAAGTGCGTTTGCTCAAGGAGGAAGGGACAAGGTTGCTTATTGTGGCACTGTGTGTAGACAGAAAAAGCTGGAAACAGCCAACATGTGCATCAAGAAGTGTGTGACTCCATGAGCTGTGACATAGGCGCCTTGTGGAATACCAGGCAGCAGAGAACACAAAACGAGTCTTTATGCAGTGATGTGAGAACTTCCAAACATGCCACTGCATGAAGAAGCAAAGCAAGTTGCAGAACAATCATCCGATCTCCTTAAGCTCACACAAACACAGCACACAGTCAGTGCATTTTCCCCAGGTGATACACATGGGATATGGTATCACTGGGGACCTACCCCAATGCTAACAGTGGGGACCTCTTGGAGACAGAGGGAGAGAACAAGGATTGGGGAGGGGAGGTGACAAAGGGGTTTAGTTTTGCTTACAATCATTTCATTCTTTCCAGGTAGAATGTGTTTATGTACTACTGTGTCTTTAAACATCGATTGAAAAAATTAGGGAGCACTTTTTTTTTTTTTTTTTTGAGACAGGGTCTCGCTCTGTTGCCCAGGCTGGACTGCAATGGCGAGATCTTGGCTCACTGCAACCTCTGCCTCTGGGCTCAAGTGATTCTCCCACCTCAGCCTTTTGAGTAGCTGGGACTACAGGAGCACACCAACGCACTCGGCAAATTTTTGTATTTTTTCTGTAAAGATGGAGTCTCACTGTGTTGCCCAGGCTGGTCTAGAACTCCTGAGCTCAAGTAATCCATCCACCTTGGCCTCTCACAGTACTAGGATTATAGGCGTGATCCACTGTGCCTGGCCGGGAGCACTTTTTGAATTATACTCCAAGAAAACATCCAAAAATTGTTCAAAAAATTCAAAAAAGGGATCAGAGAAAAAAGAGATGAAAGGAAGAAACAAATGGGACTGGCACACAGAGACTTTCTGGGGGTGTTTGCAAAGTTCTGCTCTTTGACCTGGTTAGTAGTTACATAGGGATTCAATTTAGAGTAAGTCATTACATTGTAAATTTATGGGTTTTGTATTGTTCTATAAGCACCCTAATTTCACAATTTCAAAAGTGTTTTGGTTTTCTTTTTCTAAGGAATTGAATGGAGTTGGCTGGCTGCCCCACCCAAAGTAAACCAGGGCATTCAGAGCTGGGAGTAGGGACTGAAATGGGCAACCAAAGACCCAGAATGTCAGAGAAGAGGGGAAACTTTGTTTGCCTTGGTCCTGTCCCCACCCCCTGCCCCCGCACTACTCACCATCAGCAGGCCAGGTTGGGGTCGGAGGGGTGGCCTGGAGTTCTGTGTAGACTGCGTCTGGAGTCCAGAAACAAGGGGTCAGGGAGAGAACAGGAGAGAGAAAAAGAAGTGCACAAGATCTATGGATGGAGATGCCAAAGATTCCCATAGCAACTCAATTTTAATGTAATAGAAATGGCTTAATTAGGCCGGGCGCGGTGGCTCAAGCCTGTAATCCCAGCACTTTGGGAGGCCGAGACGGGCGGTTCACGAGGTCAGGAGATCGAGACCATCCTGGCGAACACGGTGAAACCCCGTCTCTACTAAAAATACAAAAAATTAGCCGGGCGAGGTGGCGGGTGCCTGTAGTCCCAGCTACTCGGGAGGCTGAGGCAGGAGAATGGCGTAAACCCGGGAGGCGGAGCTTGCAGTGAGCTGAGATCCGGCCACTGCACTCCAGCCTGGGAGACAGCGAGACTCCATCTCAAAAAAAAAAAAAAAAAAAGAAATGGCTTAATTAATCCAGCCATTTGCTAACTGCCGAAATGTGCTACCAATATGTCCTCTTCTTTGGGACCTTACGTCCCACAGATGCCACTCTACAGCTCCTTCTTCGAGATGCTGGCTGCAAATTATCTTTCTCAAGACTCTGAGAAGTGCTGCCTAAAAAAAAGTGTTTAACTCAGCTTCCCAAATGCTCTTGCTCTGAGAAAAAGCCCCAGAACTTCCTTTAGGGACCATGCTTCCCTGACTCTTGGTCCCCTTTATGCAGCAGGTCTGACACCAGCCCTGGTGGAGGTTGGACATGGAACCCAGGCCTGGCCAATCAGCTTCCTATGCCTGTAGCCACAGTGGCTAGCTTAGGGATACGACCTGAGCCTGGCCAAAGATAACTCAGTTATGGGACATTTGCTGGACTGGGGAGGGGAAATTCTCTTGCTGGGATTCTCAGCAGACACGATGAGAGCCCCAGGCTTCAAGGGATCATCTTGGCCCCATGAGAGGAGACTCTTCCTGGAAATGAAGACAACACAGAGAAAACAGACCCAAGAGGTAGAGAGAGGTTCCTGATAGCATCATTTGAGCACCTAGATCAAGCCATGCCTGAAGGTCTATACCTGGACTTTTTCGTTACATAAATCCATAAATTCCCTTGTTGGGTCCCAGTTTGGGATTTTTGTTGCTGTTGTTATTTGCAATGACAGGATCTTGATAGACATGTCCCTCTTTCCTCACCTGGGGCTGGTGTCGGGACCTGAATGTCCATGATAGTTGGGTCTGCTGAAGAAATGGATGTGGTATACTTCAACGTCTGTCCTAGGGAATCAAAGATGAGAAGTCAGGAGGGAGCCTGGTCCCCCTCCTCTCACCACCCCCGCCCTCCACTCCCTGGTGAAACCTTAGGGGTCCTGTCTGCTGGTGGAGTCACTCAGCTTTGACAGTATCAATCCATAATTCTGAAAGTGTTTTCAGCTATGCCAATGCCTGGGAACCCTTCTTCTAGGCCCCCTCCCCACCCATCCCTGTGGGGTGGGAGAGTCAGTTTAGTCTAGTGAGCCCAGGTGCTAGGGTCAGTCCGGACCCTGGTTTCAAATCCTGCCCCCAACAACTTTCTTGCTGTGTGACCTGGAACAAGTAAAGTCCTTTCTCTGAGCCTCAGTTGCTCCATCTGCAAAGCGGGGATAATAATTGAATCTACTGCACAGGGCTATAGATAGGGTGAAATGACACAGAGCAGGGAAAGGGTCTCCCACACTGCTTACCTTGTAGTCAGTGCTGGAGAACTCCACTGCCCCCACCCTTGCCCATCCTCTGTACCCTCCAGCCTGGACATCCCAGCAGCCTCCTCCCTGGGCTCCCTGCTCCTGTCCCTGCCCCCACAGTCTGTTCCCACCTGCAGCCAGAGGGAGCCTGGGACCACCTGAGTCAGGTCAGGGCCTGCCTGGCTCACAGCCCTGCCCTGGCTGCACTTCACTCTACATAAAAGCAAAGCCCTCATGTGGCCCATAAGTCCTCCTCCATCTGATCCCATCAGTTCTCTGTCCTCTCTTCATCCCACTCTGCCCCTTCTCATCCCAATCCAGCCACCCCACCTGCCTGTTATTCTTAAAACACACCAGACAATACTCAGCCCCCAGACACCTGCAAGGTTCATTCCCTCATTTCCTCCAAGTGTTTGTTGGTCCCAATGTCACCTCCTCAGTGAGGCCCTCCCTGACCACCCAGTTTAAACAATCCTCATTACCTGTACTTTTCTGCAAGCACATAGCACCTCCTAGCACATGATATAATTTACTAATTGGTCTCTCCCCACTAGAGTGTGACCTCTTGTTTTATTCACTGCTGTTTCCCCAGTGCACAGAATATCTAGCACATAGTAGGTGCTCAATAAATATTTGTCAAATGACTGAATGAGTGTATGAAAATCATTTTATGAAGGACAAGTGAGGGTGCTTTCAGTGGGGCGTGCACTCTGGGTTCTGGGGGCAGGCAGGACAGTTGTTTTCCCAGCTCCCCCACACACTATCCTCCGACACAGGGCACTTCCCTTCGCTGAGCCTCAGTTTCCTCATCAGTAAAATGGGCATGACAACAGGTGTGACTGACTGTCAGAGGCAAAGCCTAACTGAGCTAACACACACCACACACCACACCTGCCATGCAGAGGGGATGCTCAATGACCCCCCGCGGTTCCTGTCTTTCAGGAGACACTTTCCAGGCAAGGCTGAGATGTCACCAACTCGTTGGACCAACCCCAGCTCAACAGCTTTGCCTAACTGTGTAATGCCCCAGGACCCAGTGATCCTCCGTTTTGGGAGCCGAGGTTTCCTGGCCGCTGAGTAGAAAACTGACACCAATCTCCCCGCCAAATCAAACTCAGTGAGTTCTTCTTGGAGGTGAAATTGGAGGCTGCTCAGCGGGACAGGCCCTGGCCAGACTCACTGGAAGCAGCCACCCGGGTTTGAGGTGTCCAAAGAGGGTGTAACGTCGCCCTGCCATAGGGATCCCCACTTCCTGGTGCCGGCTCAGCGGGAGGGTGACAGGGCTGGACAGAACGTTCACACGCGCCAGCCACCCACCCTGCAGCACATGTAGGGCTGGCCTGGCTGGGGGCTCTGGGGCAGGGTGGAGGCCAGAGACGGGTCTTACCTCTGGTGGGGAGAATCAGGCCAACGATGGTGAGAAGACACAGGCGACCAAAGGGCGACATCTGTGGGACCAGGCGATGCTGGGGTCAGCCATGATGTCAGCGAGGCCGGCCTCTGGCAGCCCCCGGGGATCCTGCAGCCCCTTCCCTGCCCTGAGCAAACACCTCTGGCTTCCAGGACCCCCTGCCAGGGCAGACGGCTGGCCTCAGGGGAAAGGGGAGGGTCTTAGGTGGGGATATCAAAGAGTCACCCTGCTTCCTTCCCCTGCAGGTCCCCAAAGAAAACAAGAAGCAACAGATAAATGGATCTCCCAGCAGCTGCAAGGGCCGGCAGGCACTCCTGAAGCAGAGAAGCACCTCCCTGCGCCTTCCGCCAGGCGCCTATCCCTCACTGGGACTGACGCAAGGAGGGGACTGGGGCAGAGGAGTAGATAGGAGGCCTCTTCCCTCCCCCAGGGGCCCAGAGCCCAGGAGTCGGCAAGGAGGGGAAGGAGGAAGAGTGAGTAACGCCTCCTGCGCTCAGAGGAAAAAGTGAGTTGGTGTCAGGGGCTGCCTTGCAGGGATGGCGCGCTGGGGAGATCTGAGAAGCACTGGTCCGAGGGGGGTGGCAAACAGCTGGGGAGACTGAGGCAGGCCGGCGGGAGCGAGGCAGAGCGGCCCACTGTAGCCCAGGAGAGGAGGCAGAGAGATGTGGGCGTGGATGGGGGACAGAGAGGGGCGGAAGGGGTCAAACCCCTACCCACCTGAGCCCAGCCCGTGGGCAGAGGGGCAGCGGATGGAGGTGGCGCGCGAGAGGCACTTACGTTGGAACTGGGGGTCCTGAGCCGGCAGCCTAGTGGGGAGAGGGACGCGGCGGTGGCTGCTGCGTCCAGGCGGAGGGTGTGGCCAGGGGAGCGCGAGCGGGCGGGGACCCAGACGGGCTCAGTCATTTCCTCTTGGGTTTCCTGGCTTCAGAGCCCGGGGTGGGAGCAGGAGGGGGAGCCGCTGAGGGCAACGGGGGGCAGGGGTGAGGGCACAGTGGTGGGGGAGGGTGGGGACGGGGATGGGGCCGGCAGGTCTAGGGTGAGTGGACGCCTCTGAGAAAGCAGGGGGAAAAAGGGGAGGGGTCTATTCTGGGGTCCCTGGAGGAAGGGAAAGGACAAATCCGGAGGTGTTGAGGAAGAGGGGATTGGAGGAGGGCAACTCGGGGCACTGGGAGAGGAGAAGGAAGAGGGGGCAACCCCGGGCACACAGGGGAGAGCTACCCCAGGTTCAGTTCTGCACCCCTACCCACACCGTGCCCCACAGATGAGAACACACAGACAGAACAGGAGAAAAAACCAAATGCACATTTATTAAGCTCAAGACATGGACACTGAGGGCCCAGGGGGACGGATCTTCGGGGATGAGACAAGGAGGTGCAGGGGGACCGTACACGGGGATGCTGGCGGGGCTGGGCCGGGATGGACTCCTGGATCCCAGGAGCTGGAGGCCTGAGGCCCCGGGTCTGGGGTGCAGACGGGCTCTTTGGGGAATCATCATTGCCAAGGCCTGGGGAGGGACAGCAGGGTGCAGCGGCTCCAGCCTTGGGGTGGGTGGGGCGGCTCATTCCGGGGAGCGCTCCCGGCGCGCGGCTGGGTCCCCACCGCCTCCACCCGGTCCTCAGGCTCCCGCGCTCAGACAGGGTCGGCAGCGGAGGTTCCTTGGGCAGGTGTTACACGCCGCCGCCACCAGGGGCTGGGGAGAGAGTGGGGGTGCGTGAGCCACCAGAGAGGTGGAAACTGCCTTCCTCCCCACAGCTCGTTGGCTCTCCATTCCCCGGCACCATGGAAGCCAGACCCCAGGGACTGTGTCACCCCTGAGCTAACACTGAGGAGCTGTCTTTCCTTCCACACGCTAATGTCTGGTTCCCTTGGGGACACCTCTGGCTGCTGTCATGGAGAGAAACACCTGCCACGGGGCTGGCGGCCCCAGACCCAACCTGGGCTTTTGGGGCTGTCCCCCTGCCAGAAAGGGAGTCCCCATCCCCCTTCCCATCCTCAATCTCCTCCTACACCCTCACTCCTCTCCTACACTCCCTGTCCTGAACATTTGGCTACAACGGGAATTCCCCCATTCCCTACCGGCTCCAGACCATCATTCACTAGGAGAAACCAGAAACCTGTGCAAAGTCTTCGTCTGTGCCCCAGGTGACAAGGCCAACCCCCATGCTGCCCTATGCATCCATAAGTGCCCTGTTCATGTTTTAAAACTCATTAAATAAACATGAAATAGGTCCAGCGTGGTGGCTCATGCCTGTAATCCAAGCACTTTTGAGGTCAGGAGTTTGAGACCAGCCTGGCCAACACGATGAACCCTCATCTCTGCTAAAAATATAAAAATTAGCCAGGTGTGGTGGTGGGCGCCTGTAGTCCCAGCTACTTGGGAGGCTGAGGCAGGAGAATCGCTTGAACCCGGGATGCAGAGGTTGCAGTGTTGTAGTAAGCTGAGATCGTGCCACTGCACCCCAGCCTGGGCAATGGAGGACAGAATAAGACTCTGTCTCAAAAAAAAAAAAGAAAAAAAAAGGAACCTGAAACAAATTCCACACCAAATACCCCTCAACCACTGAATAACCCGTGTGCCCCTCCTGCTTTTTGTTGTTGTTGTTATAAGAACTTTATAGGAGACACAAAAATTCTCATTTCTGGTTTTTTACAAGTCTCCGGAAAGGCTACATTTCCACTAAAAACAGGTCAAGATATTTTTACATAATTAAAATTAACAGCCCCAAGGAGTCAGAATCTTTCATCGACATGCTTGCTTGCCCTGCATCCTTCTCCCTTTACACCTTCCAGGCTTACACCCATTTTCCCTCCTCCACCCTGCAGGCCGTCCTCCTCCCATCCTCCTCCCCTTCCTTCCTGGGCTCCTCCTTCCCACATTCTCCCGGAACACCTCCATCCTCTCCACTCTACTCCCTCCTGTGCTTCCCAGCTTTCTTCTCCATCCTCACACTCCCTGCATCCCATATGTTCTTTTCCAATGTGAATTCTAAAATCTGCATTCTATTCATCTCTCTTTTTGTTATTTTGATGCAACTATTCAGAAATCTTCCCTCCCTCCCTCTGTCCCTTTTCCTTGGCTATTTCATCCTGGATCTGCCTGGCTGAACGATCAAGTCTGGAAAGCCTCTCCTCGTCTTCCTCAGTGCTCCCTCTCCCTCCCTCAGTGCTCCCTCTCCCTCCCTCCTGACTGAGCTCCTCCCACATGGGGCCCTTCTCTTCACAGGCCTGTGGTTTCCTCTCCTGGGAAATCAGCATGTCCTGGCTTTTATAGGCTTGAGCATTTGTTTCTGGGAATCTCCGTGGACTCTGGGACATGTCACATCTCACTGCCTCCCCACGGTTTAGCATCATCTTTCTTTTCCCTCCCTCCCTTCCTCCCTCCTTTCCTTCCTTCCTCCCTTCCTCCCTCTTTTCCTTCCTTCCTCCCTCCCTCCTTCCCTCCCTCCCTCCCTTCCTTCCTTCTTTCCTTCCTTCCTTTCTCTTTTTTTTTCTTTTTTTTTTTTTTGACAGAGTCTCACTCTGTCACCCAGGCTGGAGTGGAGTGGTACGATCTCAGCTCACTGAAACCTCTGCCTCCCAGGTTCAGGTGATTCTCCTGCCTCGGTCTCCTGAGTAGCTAGGATTACAGGTGCGCACCACCAGGCCCAGCTAATTTTTGTATTTTTAGTAGAGACAGAGTTTCACCATGTTGGCCAGGCTGGTCTCAATCTCCTGACCTCAGGTGATCTGCCCACCTCGGCCTCCCAAAGTACTGGAATTACAGGCGTGAGCCACCGCGCCCAGCCAGGTTTAGCATCTTTCATGTGCGGCATTTCCTCAGCTTCCTAGGGAATTGTCCTGTGATATCTGCGGGCAGCCCCCCTGCCCAGTCCATCCACAAGACTTCCCAAAACCCTCCCAGAACCACACAGTTTCTCACCCTCACCTGAAGAGGGAAGCTCGGACTTACAGGATTTGCAGGTTGGGCTGTGGAGGCAGAAATGAGAGAGAAAAGTAGAAAGAGGTTCAGTAACCATAGGCTTTGGGGAAAACACATGGCAGGCCCAGCGGATCCTGCCCGTCTGCTAGGGAGGTACCCCGAGGCCCCCTCCCACTCTCTGCCCACTGCTGCCAGACCTCTCAGACCTGGAGTCCGCCTTCCTGCACTTCACCTTCTTGCCTGTTGGGAGAGAGAGAGACAAAACAAGAAGACAGGACATAGGGTGTAGGATATGCACGAAAGCCAGCAGAGGAACCGGAGGCCCAGGCAGCCCAGGGACGGGTCACACTTACTGATGATGATGAGGATACCCAGCAGGAACAAGATGGTTGCCAGAGTCATGCCCACAGTCTGCACCGTGTTGTAGTCTGGGGAAGATAACGGGGGACATCGAGGCAGGGACAGCACCTGGGCTCCACCTGCAGCCTCAGTCCTGGCTCTGTGTTGCCCAGCCACAGGCCCAGAATCACCCAGGGAGGCTGCGGGCCATGCTGGACGCTCCTTCAGGGGGCTGATGTGAGGATGTAGGGCATGGGCTTGGGCACCATTAGCTCCCCTTGCCCTCTGCATCCTCTACTTTCCTCCCCTGCTCTCTCCCGCTGCACCTTCCACCCTGGATATATACATAATACTCTCCCTCCACCACCTCCTCCCGGCCCTGGTTCTGTCCACCATGGTCGCCCATCTGGCCTCTGCAGCAGCCTTCTCTAGGGTGTTGCTGGCCTGCCTGCACTCCCACCTCTGATAGCCACAAGGACCCATTAACATTTGAGTCAGATCTGGGCTGTCCTCCGCTCGGAGCCCTCCTCATCCCATTGCCCTCAAGGTAGAAACCAGAGTCCTCACTACGGCCCTCAAAGTCCCATAGGATCCAGTCCCTTTCCTTCTTGGACCTCACCCCACCTCACTCTCCCCATCAATACTACTCCAGCCACAATGGCCTCCCCGCTGTTCCTGGGGTATATCCGGCCTGATCCTATCCCAGGGCTATCCTCTCCTATCCTATGACTGGCTGTTCCTGCAGCCTGAAAGCTCTTCCTCCAAATATCCACATGGCTCCTTCCCTCACCAATGTCTGGGTTTTGTTTCACTGTGAGCAAAACCTCTGGCTATCCTGTCCAGAATTTTCCATCCTCTCCTCCACACTTCCAATCTCATTCCCTTCTTTACTTCACAGGAATTATTCTTACCTAATATTCTTGCCTAATAATTTTTTTTTTTTTTTTTTTTTTTTTTTTTTTTTTTTTTTTTAAGAGACATGGTATCACTCTGTCACCCAGGCTGGGGTGCAGTGGTGCAGTTATGGCTCACTGCAGCCTCCACTTCTTGGGCTCCAAGAGATCCTCCCTGCTCAGCCTCCCAAGTAGCTGAGACTACAGGCATACACCACCATGCCCAGCTAATTTTTAAATTTTTTTTTGTAGAGCTGGGCACAGTGGCTTATGCCTGTAATTCCAGCACTTTGGGAGGCCAAGGCAAGCAGATCACTTGAGGTCAGGAGTCCAAGACTAGCCTAGCCAACACGGTGAAATCCTGTCTCTACTAAAAATATGAAAATTAGCCAGGTGTGGTGGTGTGGGCCTGTAGTTCCACCTACTCGGGAGGCTGAGGCAGGAGAATCACTTGAACCTGGAAGGCGGGGGTTGCAGTGAGCCGAGATTTCACTATTGCACTCCAGCCTGAGCCACAGAGTGAGACTCTATCTCAAAAAAAAAAAAATTCACAATCATAATTGCAGCTTCAAACTCCTGGACTTGAGCGATCCTCCTGCCTCGGCCTCCCAAAGCACTAGGATTACAGTCATGAGCCACCGCACCTGGCCAATAATATTCTTGTCTAATATATAATTTTCGTATTTTGTTTTCTTGAGTATCTGTCTCTTTTCCATTGAGTGGAAGGTCAGGAGGAGGG